ATCCGTCGAAAATTTCCGACGGAATTTTCCGTCGGAATATAATTAAACAAAAAAAATAAAAAAAAAATAAAAAACCTAAAAACCCTAATAAAATTCTCTCTCCTCTCATCTTCTTCTGTCCGCCACTCTTTCCCCATTTCTCTTTCTCTATCTTCTCCTCTTTCCTCTTCTCTTTCTCTCTCTTCTATTTCCTCTTCTGTTTTCATCTCACGCTCCATCTCCTTTTCTTTCCTTTCTCTTTCTCCTTTATTTTCGTTCTCCTTTCTTTTCCTTCGACACCACTGCACCACCTACCATCGCAACGACACCAGCAGCAACAACGACAACACCACCTACCACCGCAACGACACCAGCAGCAACGACAACCAACAACTACGACACATTGTAATTTTTTTTATTAATTTCAGAATAATTGTATATATATTTATTTTGTTTGATTTCAATTTGTTTGTGTATTTTTTTTCGGATCTCTGAATTTATTGTACGATTTGGGTGTTATGGATTTTTTTTGTAATTTTCGATTTAGTTTTTGTTAATTTTCGATTTGTTTTTTGTTAATTTTCGATGTGGTTTTTGTTAATTTTCGATTTGGGGTTTTTTTTTTCCGATTTTGTTAGTTTTGGTCAGGGTGGGTGGGTGGGGTGGGGGGTCTGGTCTGGGAGGGGGGGTCTGGGTGTGGGTGGTGGTCTGGGGGGGGGGGGTTCTAGGTGTGGTTAGGCGTAGGGGGTTATGGTTTGGGTTAGAGGGTTTTGGTTGGTGGTGAAGTGGGGTTTGGTGGGTTAAGGTTAGGTGGGTTAAGGTGGTGGGTAACGGTGGTGGGTTAAGGTGGTGGTTTACGGTGGTGGTGGTTGATGTTACGAGGAGGTGACACGCCCTGTCGGAGGTAGCTGGGCGTTTTTTTTTTAATTTTTTTTTTGTAGCAGATTCCGACGGTCGGAAGTTTCCGGCGGATTTGAATTCCGTCGGAATTTTCCGACGAACTTTTCTGTGGCCGGAACACCTCTTCCGTTGAGAAAATTTCGTCGGAATTCCGTCGGAAAACACTATTCCGATGGAAAAGACCATTTTTCCTACAAACATGTTACGACAACCTGTTCCAACGGAAATTCCGTCGGAAACGGGTTTTCCAACGGAATTCAGGGTGTTTCCAACGGAATTTTTCCGTCGGAAATGACCTGTTTTCTAGTAGTGTCATTCCAAAGAATAAACCAAACAATTTAGATAAGTATGGGGTTAAGAATCCGTAACTCCCTTATATGAGATTCCATATCAATTAGACATGTCAATTTTTGACCTGACCCAATAACCCGACCTAATTCGACCCGATTCCAAAGCCCGATTTACTGAGAGATAACCCAAACTCGACCCCAAATGATCCGAAATAGATAATTTGACCCAAATCCAACTCGTTGACCTGAATTGATAGGTATTCCATTCCAATTTAACGAACCAAACGTTCATTCGAACCCATGACCTTTGCGTCATTGCTCTTGATATCATGTTAGTGGACCAACTCAACCAAAAATTTAAACTGATATTTAAGATCCAGGAATATGTTTTAAAAGTTAACCATAAAACAAAAAAAATGACATTATGCTTAATTTTGCAAAATCAAAATCCCACTTGATAGAATTGAAAAAAAGTTTGTATTTCATATAATTTTTTTTTTTTAATTCCTGAAGGCCACCGTAGAATTACAAAGCTTTCCAACCCCAACTCCATCCAAAACATCTGATTTTCTATCTCCTCAAACACATTTCACATTTCCAATCACTTTCTCTCTCAAAATTACCCTATTTTCTCTAAAATCCACCGTAACCGCTCCAAATCGAAGCAAATCACATCGATTTTCTTCTATTTTTGCTCAAATTCAACAAAATTTGTTCATAAACTTGCATGAAACAAGTTGAGTTGAGCAATTAAAGTGGAAATTTTGCAAATACGAACCCTTTGAGGAAAGCGCAGATTGAATAAAAAAATTGAATGCAACAATAAATTTGTTCTGAAATGCAAAGGTAACTTATACTCTACGAATTTCGAATATTTTTCTTTTTTTGTAGGAAGAATTTCGAAGAATTAATGATTTTTTTGGGCGATTTCCAGCTTAATATATAAATTACTAGATATTTAACTAGAAATTGCTTGAGCACACTCACGTTGGTATATTATCACTTGGGTTTTATTTATTTATTTTTATTTGTTTATGGATTCCTTTCTAAGTCTGATTGGATTCAGTGCTTAATTGATAATTGTTTCATGTTGGTTATTGACTTCAAGTTCATAGATGGTTATTGACGTCAGTTTGCTATATATATTGATCTATTTTTAATTTTCATAAAGGGTAAAATGTTTAGGGGTCTTACTTAATTATAAGTTTATGACAATCAGACTTGGTTATTGGGTAGGGTAGTCCATGATAATAGGGTTAGGGTCAAGTTTAAAGGGCTTTAAATGGACAGGACCCTTATTGGGGTAGGATCAATATAGGGCTAAAATATTTTCCCAATTTAATAGATAATGTAAAAATAGTTACATTGATAAATTTGTATACATATATATTTAATAATGGCTTTGTCCAATAATTATTTTAATTGATATCTTGTTGGCATTTACATTATCGACCCCCTATTGCCCCACGACCTGCTATTGACCCTATTAAATGTGACCCTCTTGACTTGACCCGCACCGATCTGACCCAACCCGCCCCGATCTGACCCAACCCGCCCAATAACCAGGTCTAATGACAATTATATGTTCTTTCGCGAGTATGATTTGAAGAAGAACATGGAGGTGCACATTCTTTTATACAGCTCTGGGATCTAAGTAGACCTGTGCAGTGGGCGGGCCTCCTCTTTTATAAGGAGGGTTGGCTCGGGTCGGGTCAGGGCATTCAATGGGGTCCCACCCTATTGCACAGGTCTAGAACTAAGGTACATGATGATTTTGAGCAGCTCTTGAGCTCAAGCACAGTACCTGAACGAAGGTGTATGAAGTAGCGGTTTATTCCTAGAACACCGCTACTTTAAGTAGCGGTTTGTTGCTGGACCGATAAAAAATAACCGGTTTTTTTTCCTTAACTGACGTGGACGGATTAAAAAAAGATTGGCTGTATTTTGGAAATTAGATAATTTCCCAACATTACTTAGGGAAAGGACTCGGTTATGTTCAAGGTGATTATCCTTTTAAATTTTCAATATAAGTTTGAACGTTCTAAACTTGCTTGTTAATTGGGGATTGAACAACTCATTTCGTGTAATTTGAGATGGTTAGTATTTCCAAAGGTCCATTAAAACAATGTAGAAAGAGCTAAGTTTCTGTTGCACTCAATCTTAAGTGTTTAAAGCTATACTATGCCTACTTGTGATACAAACTTAAGATCAATATGCTAGTTTTTGGTACCTTCTTGAGTTCTTGGAATTTTTCTTTCTTTTTTTCTTTTTTTCTTTTTTTTTTTCCTCTTTTGCAGCAGGCCTTATTGGGTTGATTGATGGTATGCTTTCGTGGATTATGCTATGATTAACCTTGTTTTCGTTTCTCTACCCCTTTTTGTGAGGTTGTTTTGACTGATTTTGTTAAATTTGAGTGATAAACCTTTTAATTTTCTTTCGTTGTAATCCATTTTTCTATGTTCGTCAGACGTTTGTGATTTGATGATACCATCTTCAATGTTGAAGGCTATTGTTACCACATATTATATCAAAACCAATGAATGTTGTTTCGTTTTGTACACAGGTTTGTGTACTTTTTACCTCCTTTATATCCCTCGAAGTACATTTGGAAATTAATGTTTGACTTAGAACTTGCATTTACATGTTTATTGAAGCTGTTTTATTTTCAGTTTGCATTGTGTTTCATTTACAGAATTTAAACCTTTATTTGATTGTGAAGCCTATTAGCTCAATTGGTAGCCTACTAGAACTCGCGAAGAGACCAAGTCTGAACAATAACTATTCTGCAACCAGCAAATAAATATACACAAAAGAGAAAACAAGCAGCAGAAGATGATCACAAGAAAAGCATACATGTATCAGACATATCAAGATCCACAAAAGATTGATCTGACCACTAACATATCCTGGGCAAAAGTAAGGTTTTTTTTTTTTTTTTTGGTTGAAAGGAGGCCAAAAGTATGTTGATATCAAGTAGAATCCAAGCCATGCAAGCTTCAGCAATTAAGTGGCGCATATTCCCAGCTGCAAGTGAATGTAATAAACGGATCAAAGGCTGGTATAAAATCATCAGCAACAATTCAAAATCACATGTGGCATCAGCAAAGCATATGCAATTTTTGTGATGATAGATCACTTGTAGATATTCTGTCTGTATTGTTTGGCCGTTTTATTTTTTTTATATATATATGCTTCTAAGCAATTTGATTTAATCCATTTTACAGTGGACAATCAATTTAAGACTGAGACCCTTACACAATCAAGTTGAGCCAGTCATGTAACAGCTCTAAGAATTGTTTATTGATCAAGAATGTATCATACAAAGCCACATAACTTGTTTAAATGAATTACTTTACATATTTCTATTAAAATAGAAGTAGTCATTAATCAAAGTATCAATTATTGTCTACACATACAATTCACATAATATCATCGTCGATAATGAAACCTCTTAAAGTTGAAAAACACACGCAACATCCCCTTTTCAAAGGTACATCTGTAGCCCTTTTTAGGCGAATACTCCCATTCCATATTAGGAATTCGAAACGCTATATCTTGGTAAGGATGACCAGCTTGGAATCGTAATACACATGTTTCAGCACTGTCTCCGTCTCTCTGAATTGAGCACGTAGGAGCCTTGGTTTTGTCAACAAGATGGGGGTAGAAGATACTGAACTTGTACCCTAGGACAGTCTTGGGAGGAGGATTATCTCGGTCATAATGTGTCCTATTATACGCGTTCCATGAGTAACCAGTATGAACCTTGACCATGTACTTGGGCTTTCTTGGAGCGTTGGAATCAACTCCAACATCACCTTCATCCAACATAACACCGTCTTCTTCAGGATCAATTATTGCTTCTTCGAAAGAGCCCTCCAACTCTGGTGTGCTGATGGTTTCTTGGAAGAAGTCTTTCGAGTTGTCGTGTTGGTAGTCCTTAAGAAACATCTTAGCCTTGTAAAGGTGAATCAGTCTAAGCACCGCCTCCCAATACTCAACCACCTTGGCCTTCCCAGAACGCATCTCTGACTCGATCTGTGATTGTAGTGCTACCAACTCTTTGTAACTACTAGTCCCCTGCAAGTAGTCCCTCACATCCGTTTCGACACTCGGATGCACACCACCAACAACAGATAAGTCATCCTTTCTCCTAGCCTCTTCACGCATCTCCCACTCACAAATCACCAATACCGCCTCCCAAAACTCCCCCTCAACATGATGATTAAGAAGTTCTTGAACATCATAATACAGCTCTTCAAGTTGTCCAAGAGATAACCCTTTGAAAAGTTGGTCATAATCATCCACATTAAACTCATGATGATATACTAAGGTGAGAATGTCAATAGGCTTGGCAGCCCCTCGACGAAAGCAAATCCTAGACCTAACAAGACTCTGATGAAGAACAAACGCGTCCTCTTTCTTGGCACTCAAGTCATAGTCATGATGAGCCACAGCCTTAGCTCGTTCTCTTTGTAACAACAACAACTCCTCGTGTCGCCCTGCCGTCTCTGCTCTCCTCTTCTTTACCTTCTCTAGCTCGGCCAGACACTCCCTGCGCCTCTTCTTTTCGGCCTTAACATCGAATGCCGCCGTAACTCCAAGACGAGACACATCTCTCTCAATCTTTTTCCACCATAAAAACTTGCCATCGTTACTACTCTTCTTCAGATTCTTCTTCGCCACTCTCATGATTGAATTTTTTTTTTTTTTTTTTTGTAATGACTTTGTTTAACCATATGATTTATTTGTTACTTTATCTCAATATATAGATTTATGAAACCGACCTAATGTATATGATACTGTAATAGAATCCACAATCCTAAACAGCTAAACTGATAGATATTATATTAGGCAGGATAATATTTGTTGTAGATTCCGGATATAATATCTAGGTTCCTATTATCTATCATAAACCAACCGTGTTTTAGGAAAGTTATTATATTAAATTTGTTTCCTAATATAATAAAATTATATGTAAATCAAAACAAATCCAATAACATTTTAACTAATATATCCTTGTGTCCAAAAAAAAAGAAAAAGAAAAAAACCTAATATATCCTTAATTATAGATTGTACAAACATAATATTATAAAATCTAATATTATATAAATAACGTAAGCATTTTTGGAGAGCATTCGGAGCGCCACGTAAGAAATATACTTATTTCGACCAATAAGAAGAAAGATTTGTATTTTATTTTTGAATTAAAAAAGTATGTCGCCACCTAGATAAAAGTAACGAATAAGATTTGATATATCTAAAATTTTAATGCCACGTAGATTATAATCCACGAATTAAATTATTTTAATGAAAAAAATAAAGTAAAAATATAGGAAAAGATAAATTTATTAATTCAATACTACGAGTATAAGAAATCCAAATAAAATATACCAAGAAATATTTAAATGATAAACGCTTATAATAAACTTTGATACCTATCATTATAACATAAATTTTGACAGTATTTATGATAAAAAATACAAATTGTTCGTTACTTATAATTAAATTAAAATTTATGATTTCTACCATTATAAATTGACACATCATACGACACAAACAAAATTTCGTATCAATAAAAAACCCCATCAAGAGAATTTTGTGTTAATTTTTGGTCATCAATGGCCAGGTAATTTTTAGCTTAATTTTTAAAATCTTATGTTTATATTAGTATTTCTAATTATCACTTACATTGTATTAATTTGGGATACTCAACGATTATATGTTTATGTTTTATTTACTAAATGTTTTTTTACATGCAGATATAACACATCATATGACACAAATAAAATTTCGTATCAATACAAAACCCCATCTAGCAAATTTTGTGTTAGTAATTTTGTGTTAGTTTTAGGTCATCAATGTCCGGGTAATTTTTAAAATCTTATGTTTAAATTTATATTTGTAATTATTAGTTACACTGTATTTATTTAGGATACTTAACGATTATTTGTTTATGTAATGGCATATGATTAGATGTTGTATACTTAATATATGGATGGCTTTGGTTATTTTTGAAGATGATGAAAAATTCCAATGCATAGATTGGTGCCTCTCTCACGTCCGACAAAAGTCAAATTCGGACAAATAAGGGAAATAAACTTCAAATTGTACAGAGAGTCATTTAATAAACATTTTGTATTAATAATGTAAGCGTTATATACAACATTGTTAAATATCTGAGTACCACAAAAAGATCAACTAACTAATACTATCCGGACTCATGTATTGGAGTTAACTGATCTCCATTCTGTGTGTCCTCCGTCCGTCTACGAATACGCCTCGAACGCCTCGTGTAATGCCGAATGGTGGTGAATGGGTCTCGGGACGGTGGAGTCAGCTGGCTAGACGATGAGTCATCCTGGGTATGGCCGGGAGCGGTGTTATGGATGAAGTATCCTCTGCCTGTGTAGAGCCCGAAGTATCACCTCCACTACTGCTCTATCCGAAGTCGAACTGTGAATGGTAATCACCTGCGCCACTGCTCTGTCCGAAGTCGAACTGTGAATGGAAGGAGTTGGGGTCATGATCGTCCCTGGGGTGGACGAGATGGTCATGGCCATATCTCTGCAAGCTATGTATGCCCATATCTCGCACCCGCTCGACCTGGGCTCTGGTGGGTACGGCTGCTAAGGCATCTGAAAGTGCATCAACCATCGCACCCATATCCCCCGCCTGCAGTAATCATCCATGACTTAGTAATATGATGCTCCAAGCCATGGACCATACTCATAGACCACCCCCTTCTTCACCTTCTCTTCTTCAGCATACTGACATTCAATGTATGTATGATCCATTCGTCCACAATAGTTGCAAAAATCAGCTAGTCTTTCGTACTGTAAGCCGCACCACTTCGATGTTTTCGCACCCGTCACAATTTTTATTCCCCTTCGCAAAGGATTTCTAATGTCTACCAGGATCTTAATCCTTTGGTACTCATCCCAGCCGAGAGGATCGGAATCATCATATTCAAGAAAGCCCCCAAGATGTTCCCTAATTTCATATGCAAAATCAGCGGTTCTTTAATTGAATGGGACATCCCTAATCCGAGTCCAAAACGCTGTGTTCACAAATTTCTGTCAAAATCAAGAGTTTTTTGTCAAAAAACCAGGGCAGCCTTCCATAACCTTCTTCTTGTCTTCCTCGCTGAAGAATTGGAAAACAAAAAGGTTGGTTTCTACCATTCTTATTGCCACATTATCTCTAACCTTCAAAACATTCCAAAGGGTACGTTTCATTGCTTCAATGTTGAAAGGTCTTCCTGTCAACAATTTCCCCACTAGCAGTTGCATTTAAAGGCGAACAAACAGTAAAATATAAATATACTTGTTAATCCACATTAAAAACTGCAAATGCACACTAAAGGCTGCCCTCATAATAAGCATGACGCCGGAATTAGTGTGTGCACTCACAATCCCGACTTAAGCTCAGAATATTTGCCCATAAATCAAAGAACAATAAAACAAAATACTCGGAATTTTTGCTCATAAATCAAAGAAAAAACTCCCCCTCAATGGATGTGGGACTTTTCCTTACTTGTTTTTTCCACTCATTTCTTTCTTTGTACATTAAGAATTTCCAACGAACTCTCCTCTCTTCCCTCCCTTCAAACTCTCACAGTCTCACTCTGTCTTCCCATATACACCCAAGAGAGCCACTTCCGCCACCGTAAACGCCAAGAAATCTACCTCCAAAACCCCAAATGAAAACTAAAAGAATGAGATCCGCTCAACAACTCATTGAGCTTCCTGAAGATACGATTTTCTATGAAATACTGCCATGGCTACCGGTTAAATCACTGCTTAGATTCAAAAGTGTGTGCAAAAAGTGGTATTTTTTCATTTCGAGTGAATATCTTTCAAGAATTCAACTTCAACGGTCTTCTTCTATTCCAAGGTCTGTTCTTGTTCATTATGAAGATTTCAAATTTCAGGCAATCAATTTTAATTTTGAGTACAAATTTGTTGGGGGTCAAAATAATTCTGTTGATTTAAAGGTTCTTGATAAATTGGGTTTTTGCAATACGTTTGATGAAGTTGTAAATTTGGGTAATGCTGCTGATTTAATGGGTTCCTGTAATGGACTGTTATGTATGTTTTTTTCATCTTCTAATGAAGAATGGTGCAATTTTTATGTTGTGTATAACCCTTGTATAGGATCTTGCATTGAGATCAAAGACCACCGTGAATTTGAAGAGAAAGAACTAAATTATGGTTTTGGTTATGTTACTATGCTGGATGATTATGAGATCGTCAATGTCGAATTTGTCGAGGGTATGCAGGACGCTGAGATGGTGGTTTCTGTTTATTCATTAAGGTCAAAAGAATGGAGGCACAAATTTGTTGAAAAAAGATTGGATTTTGATAAACAACCTTGGGCTTTTAGTAAGTTTGTAGGAGAGTTAGTAAAGGAAACACTGTATTGGGGTATGATTGTCGGTAAAGAAGGAGCTCTTAAGAAATGTATTTTTGCCTTTGATTTGGCTAAGGAAGAGTTCAGAATTATGCCATTGCCTAAAACCAACTTGGGGGATGATGATGGGGTTCGTCGTTGGGGATTTGGGTTGTGCAGTATCAATGATTGCTTGTTTGCTTGGGGAAAATATGATGATGGACATTTAGAACTGTGGAAGTTTAAAGAACATGGAGGGGTGGAATCATGGACTAAGTTGTGGGCTCCTAATTTGATGGAGAATTTGGGTGTCCAAGATTGTAGGGATTTGTTCTTAATAAAGGAATCTGGAAAGATTCTGATTCTCACTGGTGCAGATGCGCTAGCGTTTGCTGACATGAACCACGATCCACCAGAATATATGTATTTTGACGGCGTGAAGATCAGTGGTGCAGTGAACTATGTTTACAGTCTGGTATCACCTATTCACCTTTTATTGGCATGAACTTAGAACTAGAGAATTGATGAACATAATACATAGATAGGTTATGTTGTTGTACAGAATTGTTGAATACTTGTATTTTTTTTATTGGGAATTCTGTTCTATATGACAATGATAAGATAGGATAAGAAATAGAGATTTGAAGGTTGATGCAATGTTGTAAGCACTAAATAAGATGTATTGTTCTGTGATTAATACCCCCATCCAATGCTGGCTGCAGTTACTCCCAATTTTTGAGTCCCATGCTTGGTTACGACTTGAGTACTGTTGAGTCTTTTGGCTTAGGTGTCAGAATCATGTCTGTTTTTGCTCTTATAATTGGTTGGTCATGTAATCCTATCTATTTTTCTTGAGGTGAGATTACTTGTTTTTCAGACCAATGGATCCATGTCATTTCATCTTGGCTTATGGGTTTCAGACTATTAGAGGATGTGACACATACAAAGATTGTGCTAAGTACCGTTTTTCAGTGTGATTTCATCTGTGGACAATGAATTGGAAAGTATTATGTTAGTGCAATTTGACCCAATCTGACCCGTGATCAATTCTAAACGTTAAAAAGTCCTTGTAGTTGTGTATGTGACGCTAAATAGATAAGCCAAGGCTGGCCCTAGGTAGGATCCTTGTGAGAAGCGTTGAGGTTATATATAACATAGTTGCCAGCCCATTTCAAAGGTAGTTGCTCAGGCTGGTATGAATTTAGGATGCAAGCCTTCTGAAGCACTAAGGAGCTTCTGATTGCTGAGTGTCCAAAACAGCCACAGGGGACTCTGGGGTCAGACTTCAGAAATTATACACACCTAAAATCGCTCATGATTAATCTCATTTCAAAGGCATTGTGGCATCACTCAAGGCCCCCAAGGCCCCAAGAGCCACCAGATGATAATGATCAATTTTCCCTTTATAAAGCCCTGTACAGAAAATTACAACTGTATAACTAATGCTTATTAAACCCTTCTGCCCTTTCTGGAAGTCATTATTCATAGAACATGGAAGACTTCCCCATAACCCCTTTATTGCCCAACGATAAGCACTCTAAGTAAGCTCACTATACCCGAGGTTGCCCCCCCTCCCCCCCCCCCCCCTAATTGCTGTGTTCTAGTGCCTTAATCTTAGGCACATGTTCTGTTACCTATAGGTTGCTGGAGGATGAAGAATGGTCATTGACTTACTGTTTTCATCAGTTCATTGCTGATGCAATTTTTATATTAAGACATGTGATGTAACAAGATTTAAATGTTAAGTAATGAACTCTAAACTTGTAAATTTTAGGTGTCCTAGATGATATTGGCCCTAAAATAGTCTTGGCAAAAAGCATTTTGGAAGGCTGGAAGTCATAAATGTAAGGACCTTTTTCATAGAGTTCCATGACTTGCTGTAAGTATCCAAGCTCTATTGTTGACCTTTAGATGTTTTTGTACTTGGTATTTACATTTCAGATATCTTATTTTTATTCTCCACATACTGTCATACAAGCTCTGCTTGTGAGAATTGTATAAATCGTTTCTTATCATTAGTTTTTCGCAGAAAATTACTAGAGATAGTGCTGCATGTCAAATTAATCTCACTGTTATATCTAAGCTTCCAAACAGTGGATGGAATTTGGCCTTCAATTGTTAAAATTCTGAATTAACTGATGAATAAATGTGCTGATGGTGATAAAAATGGTCAATAAGCTGCTTGAAAATGTTCTTGATTGGTCTGTCAGAGTGTGTCTGTGTGCAGTGTGATAAATCTCATGAGAAATTATAATGCTATTAGTATTTGATATATTAGTATTTGATAGATCTCATGTTTTTATAAGTATTAACTTTCCATTTTAGCATTACATGAGATGAGATTACAAAATTCCTCCCATTTATAAAAACAAAACACCTAAAAAAATCTCCTCTACTCCCCTGAATAATTATACAAAACAAAGAATCAACTACATGAGATTTATCAAATACTAATAAAATTAGAATTTTGATTTTGGAAATTTTGTTAAAAACTACCTTTTTAATTCAATTTGTTTGCACCTTTTAAAATAATGTTGTCTAAGACCACCCAAAAAAATATTTTGTTGTGAAACGCCACCTGTCGCCGGAAGTAGCTATTGACTCATTTTGCCGGCTATGACTTAGACACGTGACTGTCATATGATGTTTAATGAATTCCTCTCCCTCTTCTTTCGTTTTTTTTCCTTTCGAAAAAATTTCGAGTTCCCTTTCTTCTCTCTCTCTCCTTTGTTCTCTCATTCTGTTTCATTAAACCATCTAACGACTGAAAGAGATTCCGGACGAGCGCATCGCACGCGTTAGCTGTCTTTGTAAATAGCAAAGAACGAAGCTGTGAAGCACAATTCACAGAGGAAGCTCTTAAGATATACTACTAAGGGTCTAAGACCCTAAACTCTTTACCTTAAAAATAATAATAATAATAATTAATATTGTTATTCTTAAAAGTCCTTTTATATTCAACAATTATTTTAAATATTTAAACTACAATTATATAAGTATTGTTGTTCTTGATATTTTTTTTTTTTACCCTGGTTTAAAGGCAAGTATTTAATAAATAATATATTACTACTACCTTTGTTTGTTTGAGCTCTTTACCCATGTGTATGTTTTGCATGGTCTCTTATACACAAGTTTGACCATTCATGTCTTTAAATACTTATAAGTAAAAATAATAAAAAGTTGAAAATATATAGAGATACAAATCTATTAAGACGACATGTAATAGTTTCGATCTAATCTTATATATGGATCACAAAATATGTTCAAAGTTTTATTAGTTCGACCACATAAATAGTAAGTGTAAAACGGTTAAAGAAACGAAGTAGTATTAGTCAAAATGTTATTGAATTTGTTTTAATGTACATTTAACTAGATGGAAGCCCGTGCGATGCACGGTTTTTTCATCTAAGATTTTTAATTATTTGTTTATTGTATTTAATAATTTCAGACAAAATTACAAAAGTTTAATATTTAATTATTTTTTTACTATAATTTATAATGAATTTATTAAATATAAATAAATTGTAAATATGATATTTTTTCCGTTATATAAAATCTTTAATGTGAAATGATAAATTTTTAATAATTTAAATCCTTATTCATTGTTTTACCATATTTGAACCGTGAAATGTTAGTCAAATTGAAATTGATATAAATTAAATCTTTACATTTAATATAAAATAAATCAATATATTTACCAATAAATGAAAAATTGTTGCAATATATAATCAAAACTATGCATTGGAATTTTTTCATCATCTCCAAAAATAATCAAAGCCATCCATAATTAAGTATACAACATCTAATCGTATGTCATTACATAAACAAATAATCGTTAAGTATCCTAAATAAATACAGTGTAACTAATAATTACAAATATAAATTTAAACATAAGATTTTAAAAATTACCCGGACATTGATGACCTAAAACTAACACAAAATTACTAACACAAAATTCGCTAGATGGGGTTTTGTATTGATACGAAATTTTATTTGTGTCGTATGATGTGTTATATCTGCATGTAAAAAAAACATTTAGTAAATAAAACATAAACATGTAATCGTTGAGTATCCCAAATTAATACAATGTAAGTGATAATTAGAAATACTAATTTAAACATAAGATTTTAAAAATTAAGCTAAAAATTACCTGGCCATTGATGACCAAAAATTAACACAAAATACTCTTGATGGAGTTTTTTATTGATACGAAATTTTGTTTTCATAAGCTAATTAAATTAATTTATATCTTTTTCCTACTTAAATTTTATTATTTTATTAACTATTGAAATACGAAGTATATACGTATCCGTTAAAAAAAAAAAAAAAAAAAAAAAAAAAGTATATACGTATGATACACGTGATTGTCATTATGGGCTTTTGCTTCTGATTTACTCTGTGGTGCAACCATTTGTAAGCACTAAACTTAATTAAAAAAAAAGCTATCAATTCTACTAATACTCTCACGGATAACGATAATCAATTCTACTAATACTCTCACGGATAACAATAATTTTAAAAAGATAAAAAAAATTAGATATATTAAATATTTCTTCTTATTTTCTTATTGGTCAAAATAAGTATATATTAATCTTTCTTCTTATTTTCTTATTGGTCGAAATAAGATACCATACCTCAATGGATTGACGTAATTTTTTACCGCGTGCACATTTCCATAATGAAAGTCTTTTTCAAAAAGAAAACTTTGTTGTTCAGCATCTTGGACTAGCCGTCCTTTAGAAGGTATTGTTAAAAGATCATCAATTCCTAATGATATGGATGTAGCAGTGGCTTGCTGGAAACCCAAAGTATTTACTTGATCTAGGATTTGTGATGTATATGCCATTCCAAAGTGATCTATTAAGATGCTAATAAGTCGCTTCATGGCGGTTCCATCTATCGCTTTATTGTGAAAGAAAAAATGGGCCCGTTCTGCCAAAAATACCTCGATGATTTCCACTCGTTAAAAATTAGTTTCCTATTTTATTTTGGAATTAAAAAATTCATTTGCCACCTAAACAAAAGTGACGAATGAGATTTAAGAATTTTTCCACGTAAGTAAAAACAAAGAATACTGATTTATTTGGATTTAATATATTTAAAAAACTAAAAATTATCTTTTAACATAATCATCTTTAAATATAAGACTTCTATACCTACTATTATAAGATAAATTTTTTATAAGATTTTATGTTTAAAATACCGTGGGATATTAAGATTTAAATTATTAAAAAAATAAAATTATCTTATGAAATTAATAGTTTTATCTAACTACCCGATCAATAAGATGATTTTATCTGATTTTCCTCATTGGCATTTAATTTTTTTCCATGAATGGAACGCGTGTTTTTGAATTTTTACCTTAAATTCTCCTATGGGTATTTTTTTTTTTTTATATTAGGTTGTATATATAGACATATACTCTTTCTCGCAGCTAATGTAGATTAAGAGAAATCATAACCTACAAAACTTAGTGAAATCTCCATCCCAAAAATCACCCCAAGT